AACAAAAAAAGAAACCCTAATAAAGTCATGAAGTCAAACCTTTTCATCCTTATTAATGGTATCCTTATCTTTTTCTGTTTCCAAATCTAAAACAGAATCCAAATTCTGAAAACTTGAAGCCTTTTCCTTCTCCGTCTCCAACACTGAGATCTGCATTACAAAATGAACAAGTGGTTCACAAGACATTTTGATCAAAACTCATATTAAGAGTAAAACAGAAACCTTTTCCTCAAGTTGTTTGAACTTTTATCATTATCTAAAGCATCGGCAAGTCTTCTTCTTAAGTTGTGGGATACCAATAATTTCCACCATAAAAACTAACCATAGGTAAGCTTTTTTTCCTGTTAGATGCTTTTTTTCTGCTTGTAACATGCATCAATCATCTTTGATCTGGAAGCCCAAAGTCAGAAAACGACATACTTTTATGATCTTCTTTATAGGACTATATACATAAAAAAAACAATGAATAAATTTTTTGAAAGATGAATAAAGTTTTACCTGAAATGGAGGGACATCGAACATTGTCAAAGGGGAACCCATGGGCAATAACGGAGAGCCAGCGGAAAGATGTCGTTGTCCAGAAACCATCATGTCTTATTCACCTCTAGAAACAGAAACAGAAGATGTTGTTGGATCATGCTTCCAGTCTGGTTGTTTCCCAATAAAGCTCAACCCGACCTACCCAAACTGCCCGACCGGAGCGTAATGGTTGTACACCACCATATGTGGTAGGGCTTGCACGCCTGGGGAACCGATGAAGGGACCCGTGAATCCAGCTGGTGGTCCGTAAAATGAGTCCATTCCAGAATGGTTTTTCCAGGGTGGCGGCATGTGTCTTGGATTTATTTCGGAATTTATAGTTTTTTAGGATTGGGGTTGGGTCCCACCGGATTCGTCATGTGGGCCGAAAGCAAAAACGGGCCCAGTCATCATGGGATGAGGATGATGTGGAGGAGGATGATGATGGTTCATCTCGTAGAATGGAAAGTGAGAAGGTGTGGGACCATGGAAATGAGAAAGCATTTGGGTGGTTGATCAGCTTTGAGGACTAGGCAATGGTGGCCATAGAGATGATATTGGGGGAGCTTCAACAGAGAGATCAGCAGGAAGTGATACACTTAGAGATTCTTCAGGTTTAGATTGGCTTCCAGATTGTTGATCTGCAAACCAGTTTTCAAAACATTTTAAATTAATAACTAAAATAATAAATAAATAAATAAAATATAATAAACTCGTCATTACCACTTGAAACTGAGACGGGTCCGGTTTCGGGTCCCACCCCATTGCCAACGATCTCATCTCTATCAATGGCAGCAACAGTAACAGCTTCAACTTCAGCCTCAAAATCTTCTTTTTTAAAGAATATATTGCAATCATTTTCGGTTTTTGAAATGTTTTGAGTCTTGTTAGGACGAAAAGACCCTGGAGCCCCAATCACATGTGACACAACACGACTACTAGGAGGGAGTATTGTTGGTGAGGTAACTGCCCCTGTTAATTATAGCTTAGCTTTATTAATTTGAGATATAATATAATTATAATGTTTAAAATTTTAAAATAAGAAATAACCTTACCAAACTGAATTTTTTCACCAGCAATGAGAGAGTTGATTGGGCTTGAAGATGATGAAATTGATTTTCCTTTTGTCAAGATTGATGAGGATGGTAAAATGGGTTCAGTAACCAAAGTGGTGGTATTGGTATTGGTATTGGTATTGGTATTGGTATTGGTATGATCGCCTATAGATGTTACATGTGTTGTATTGAACCTTCCAGGCTTCATAGCCTCATCAAGTTGAGTTTGAGTCAATGGAATAACATGTATGTCGTATTAAAATTAGTTCAACATTTCACATGAAAATAAAAATTAAAAAATTAAAAAATCAAAAACTTTTCACCTGCGGATCCAATCGTGCATTACCCCAGTCACCCAAAGATGTTTGAACATCATCAACAGCCTTATTTTCAGTCTCAAACATGCGACTTGAACTACTATCTTCCAAAATACCAGATCCTCTTTGTAGATTCCTATAAAGTAATGTATATAGTTAACTAGTTAACTAAATTTATGATCTTCTTTGCTTTCTTTTCCCCTTCTCACTCCAGATCTAAACGTAAAGATCAAAAGGGTAAACAGACAATAATCAAAAGACTACTTTATCATCAATAGCAAGCTAAAACAATATTCAATCTGTGTTCTCACCTGAACAAATATTCATCAACCAATAAATCCACATAAACATGTGTTGATACAATTCCCATATCAAAGTCTACAATGATTTATTTGTGACTAAACCCTTCCAGACACTTATAAAGTACACAACATAACGGGTTTTAACTACCAAGTGCACAAAACAAAATCAAGCATTTCATTCCATGCCAAATTATGTCAATCATCTAAAATATTGTAAAAGACTACAAATGAATCACCTTTGGAAATCTCAAAAGACCAAAACGTGTAGTAAGATGAAATTGAATACAGATCGAGCTCAGATTGGTACATATCTCTTCAAAATCTGCTTCCCCATCACGGCTAATCCCACCGCTATTCCACTAATAGCTCCGGCAACAGCCGCCGACCTAGGCCCCGTCGCCGCCTTGTAAAGCGCTCCAGTCGCTAATCCAGCCACCACACTGTTAATAATATCATCTACATCCCTAGCCATAACCATCCCGCTCTCCATACCAGCGTACAACAGTCCGATTACACCCGCACGGTTGCCGATCGTCCGACCTTCATGTCTAGAAGCATTTAAGATCCGATTAACCCTAAGTTTCATGGTGTCTCCAGCCTCAGAGTCCTTCACGCCCTCTACTAAACCATTCCATGCGCCAACTACTGCGTCGTTGAGGTAACCGTTGCCGGTGTAGTATGTCAGGTTTTCTGCCCATGAACGCCGTTGAGCGATGGATTCCTCTTGAAAGAGGTATTCAGGAGATGTGGGAAGTTTGTACAGGGTTTGTGCGGGGACTCTAAGATCTTGGTAAGGGTTGTATAGCCGACGGTTGTCGTGGTGGTCGTTGCTTTCGTTGTGATTTGAAGATCTCGGTTGGTAAGACATGTCGTAGTTAGGGCTACGATTAGGGTTTCGATGTTTCAAGAATCTGATTCCAAAGGAGAGAGAGAGAGAGAGAGAGAGAGAGAGAGAGAGAGAGAGAGAGAGAGAGAGAGAGAGAGAGAGAGAGAGAGGGATTGAGTGCAGAGGTAGAGGAAGACGAACTGCTTAAAGGATTCTTAGGGTTTTTTGGTAGAGGATTTTAGAAGGAGAAGAAGGAGATGTATCAGGCGGGGTGGTTAATTTTTTGGGATTTCATTCTCCCATGGGCTATTAAAAAAAGAAAACGCGCCTTCCTTCAAAAAATATATAAAACAACACATTTACACGACACACATTTTATGATTGGTGCCCTCCGTGTTTTTTTTGTTGGACACTAATTTTAGGGCACGCAAAAATGCGTGTCCTCTATCCTTCAAATTTTAGAAAACTGACATTATTTTTTAGGACATGCACAAATGCATGTCCTCTATCAGCGCATGTCATTTTTTGCGCGTCATTAAATGGTTGTTTTTTGGTAGTGTAATCATCTGAAAGAATCTGTGAATACTACGGCTATCCCCGCAGTCTTACAACACTGTCCATACTATCTGACCGCTTGTGAATGCTACGGTTACCCCCGCAGTCTTACAACACTGTCCATACTATCTGACCGCTTGTGAATGCTACGACTACCCCCGTAGTCTTACAACACCGTCCATACTATCTGACCGCTTGTGAATGCTACGGCTACCCCCGCAGTCTTACAACACTTTCCCTACCGGATCGAAAATGCACTCGACCTAACACTCAACTGAACTTGAGTCCTAACTAGATCTCTAACCTGCTCCCCGAAACCTGCTATCCGATGCCAAGGAAAAACACGAACCAAATGTTGGAATGTCTTCCGAACTCCCCACTTACACAATCCTCAACCTAGACGGCCACTCGACCGCCTTCCTCCCTAAAGGGGATACGAACTCATCCTAGATTCACTCCTACCTTTGCTCTTGAATACTTGATCGATTCTCCCCCACTTAGATTCGACTACGTCTTCACAACACATAGGAACTGAAGGATTCCCAATCCCCCTTTTCTTTCTAACAGTCGATCCGATGGCCACCAACGCTTACCAATGCTAGTGCTCCATCACTAGATGAACCCCAAAAGTCCACACAACTTCTAAAGACCAAATGACACTTCCTGAATCCCAACGTAACCGTCAGCCCCTGATGCTTGAAATGATACCGCAGTCAAATCTTGAAGCTCAACAACAGATGCACCAACCAATACCCCAACAACAAGCCACTTCCCTTGGTGCTCCCAATAGTCACTCCAAGTTCAACTACTAAAACACTGATTCCTAACGATGCTGAATAACCATCCTGCTGACACTGACCACAGACATTTACATAATCCCCCTGTCCGATCTCTACTACGAATCGAAAGAACACTGAACACCCCGAACCAGCAAAAAAAGAAACGACCTTACACTAACCGCTAATAACTCACGGTATGTGTGACATCCCCTAATTTCTCGGCCAGAAAAGATCGATTTAATTTATGCTTTTAAAATAAAGTCAGAGAAATCCTTTTAAAAGATGTTGCGGAATTGGTCCCCAAAACAAAACATGATAAAAGTTTATCAAAACCTTTCTTTAAGAAAGTATATATTTTCCTTTTATATCAAAACCTCGGGATGTCATTTTCCGATACAGATCAAAAGCATAAACAAGACTTTATAAGCCTTACAACAGTTATTTACAACTACTGGCCTATAGTCCAAAAATCCCTCATCATCATCCAACTATGCTCGGGGTCCACTACCTGTAATAATAAAAAGCTGAGTGGGTCAGGCTTGGGAGCCTGGTGAGCATATAGGGTTTTCAACCCACAATAATAATAAACTTATTAAGTTCATCAATCAACAATAACCCTGATCACCAATCCCGTTATCCTCACTTTACGTCCCTAAACACCTATCACAACGGACCTAGCCTACGGAATATCATCGGGATGGACACTACTGCTAAGGGGGCTCCTCACCGATACATGTCCTAAAGGCAACCATGCGGGGGATGGAGTACGCCAATGAACATATAGTTCACCAACACCTACAAGTTGCGAACCTGCTAGTGTTCCACTGGACTGTCTAGAAAGGTCCGTGGTCGTCATCTATACTCCGCTAGACGACTACAACAACAACAACAACAACAACAACA